TCATATAAAAAGCTTGCCGTAAAACCACCATCTATTTCTCTACTGATCTCATTTTATCATCATCTTTTATAAATACGATACCTTCATCTTACTATCATGGAAAAAACAGATAAAGTGTTTGTAGAAAGCTGACAAGCCGCTAATTATTCGAGATTGGGGTTTTTTTAGGTGATTAAATGAATCAATGCCATTTCTGCCATGACAAAATCTTGACTAATAAAAAAGTGCTGCTTGTTTCCTGATGAAAGACATACCTTAAATTTTTTTGACAATTATGGTCGGTATCAGAAATAGATTACAAAAAGCTGGAGATCCTTAGGAAATAAAAGCAGTTTTTGGTCTCTAGAAATTAACTTCATAGTTCTTCATAATATATTCAACAAGATTTTGTAGGTAATTGTTTGATTTCAAAAGCGAAATTGATGTTCTACATGGCACTGAAGACGATATATATGTGAACTAAATAATGTTGCAAATATTTTGGGACATCCGATCATAAAATTAGTCAAACAAAAGTTTGCTCTATTACTACTTATAGATCTTCATCTACAAAAATTCTAGTTCTTAACTCTTAAAACTCCATGACTTTGTTGAACAGCTTTTGCTATTTTTTTCAGGCTTAAAAGGACAGCGTAAACGGAAACGAAAGAGTCGCTGGAGCCAAGGTGGAATGCAAAGTAAGCGTGTTCGTTTTTCTAACTGATATAAAAGTAATTTTATGTTTTTCTGAGAATAGGTAATGATGCTGGGCAAAACAACAATAGTGACGATGATGAACCTGACAGAAAAGGTTTTGGTTCGAACACAACAAATGATGTCAAACCGGTTAATAAATTTGTTAAACAAATTCATGATGGTAAACATTATTTTCACTTTACCACTGAAAGTAGACCAAATAGTTTTTTGTTTGTTTATATTTAGCAACGGAAAAAGCGAAACGTTTTGTTTTACAATTAAATGAACAAATGGCACTTTATCCAGAAGGTTATTCGGCAAGGATGACAGAAGATCAACGAAAACAGTATGTCGAACAAAAAGAAGTAAGTGGAGTATATCTGTCGTTTGTTCCAGTTATTTATTATTTTTCGTCTGTAGTTACAAGGCATCTATGAAACGATGATGTCCAAACGTCATGAATTAGAACAGTATATAAAACAAAATAAATTTAAACATGAATATGATTCAGATGAAGAAGTACAACAAGAGGGAAATGGTACATGGGAGCATCAAGTTCGAGGAGCTGAAATGGAAATAACAAGAGGTAAGAATTATGTTATCATAACGAAAGAAAATTGCATTCTTTTTTTAAAGTGAATTTTTGATAGTCGAACGAACTCTCCTTTGATAATGGAATGTCGTACTCACTCTCACCAATAGTCTCAAAGTGGATATTTTCCAGCAGTGAACATGAGTTCGCTTCTTTATCAACTATTTCTTTTTGTTTACAATGATTTTCCTTTATTCAAATATCTAGTTCATTAAAAATGTAGCTAAATTCGAAATATGTTTATCTCTTTAAATTGCTTAAGGGGATTCTTAGCCGAAAATTTTTGTCCACGCGTATATCCACTGTGAATTTGCCATATCGCTAAGACTTATTTCATTTTAATTTTAAAGAATGGGCAGTCAAGTTAACAGATATGGCACGTGGCAAGCATCATATTGGAGACTTTCTTCCACCGGATGAATTAGAAAAGTTTATGGAAACTTATTCGGTAAGGTTATGAATTATTTACCCTAAATGAAACAATATTAAACTTGTTTTTTTTCATTTTTTATATCACAGGCTTTAAAAGAAGGCCGTACTCCGGATCTCTCGGATTACAAAGAATTCAAAATTCAAGCAGAAAATATTGGTTATCAATTATTAGAAAAATTAGGTTGGTCTGAAGGAAAAGGTTTAGGAAAACATGAAGACGGAATAGTTGTACCAGTAAATAAGTATGCTACATAGACTAAAGTATTCTACATCTGATTAATATTTTTCTTTTTTGTTTCAGAGGTATAACTCCTGTAGGAAATTCTGGTTTGGGTCAAGATCGTCCATCTGAATTGGCGCGAACCGATGACGAATATCAGATGTATAGAAAACGAATGATGTTAGCATACAAATTTCGACCAAATCCATTGGTAAGTGTTACAATATGTTTTCTACAAACACTTTATCTGTTTTTTCCATGATAGTAAGATGAAGGTATCGTATTTATAAAAGATGATGATAAAATGAGATCAGTAGAGAAATAGATGGTGGTTTTACGGCAAGCTTTTTATATGA